ACTTCTTTTTGTTACTGGTAACTCAATCCTGTGTTATCCTCTCCTTTATTTCTCTACTATTCCTTCCGTGCTGAATTATCTGACTTGCTAGATATCAGCAACTTCTAATTCTTCATCTCCTACCTTTGTATTCACTATTTCTTTCCTTGCATACCAATATTTTTATTTTAATTTTATTTATTTTTAACTAATAATACTGTTCTTTGAAGTTTATGTATAGTGATCCTTATCTCAGAGACGAAAGTAGTAATAAAATCGGGCATGTGCCCCTTTTGCATCACCAGCTAGCAGTGATACAAAAACTTTTAAGTTTTATACATATTTGAAATCATACGAAATAGCGATAAATCTAATTTTGAAAATTTCTCGTAAGTTGATGACTAAAACAAATATCTATGTTATTTGTTTCTAAATATGTATTATGTCAAATATTTAACATTATTTCCTTGGTTTCATTTGTTTACGTAATAACCACCGAGACTCTTGTCATTATATCACCATGTTAAGTTATTATTTTGGTTCGATCTTTACAAACGGCATATGCCGGGATGTGACTCTTTTCGAACATAAATAACGCTATTAAAGGTGAGGCTTAACAGCAGGTGTCCAGAGCGTACCCGCTGCGAGAATTACTGCCCCAACGAATAACTATATACTTTATTACATACTAATAACATGCTCGTATTAGCTCTCCTCGTCGTCCCAACAAACTTCAAATATAGGTACCTACCCGTACGTGTAGCTAAGTACAGTAATACACATCCCAAAGGAAACGCCATAAAAGGATTTCATTAATCCTGAACCAAAATTTTACGCAATATTGTTCAGAGAAGTTGTCATTGCGTTATGTTATCTGTTGTCAACATGTCGTCGTAAATCATACGCAGCATCTTTGGGATATGTTGTATTATTAGTTGCTCTATTTCAAAAAATCTTTTCATATCACAACACTTCTGAGGTTCTTCCGCGGAATCAAGGATAAACAATCCCCAATATACTAAATATGGCGATCGGTATTAAGTATCTGATGCTACTAATACTGATACTACTGATAAATGGACTAATAGCCGAAAAGAGTAGAAATATGTAATTCTTTGTGAAATTTGTCATTTATTTTATTTCCATTTGTATAATTACCTACTGTATCTTTATCTTATTAAAAATACGCAGTATCCTATCATACAAGTTTTTCAGTATAAATATTTAGTGTTTGTGAAGATAACATAATTTCATAGGTTTGATAATTTTGATTTACCTTTTAGTAATATTTAACAGATTCTTTTACGATCAATCAAGTGCTTTTGTTACGTCGGAAAATCGATAACAAGTGGTGTTTATAAAGAAATAAAAATGTATCAATTTGCATATTAAATATGCGTTTAATCATCATGTACTTAACGCAATGAAGGTCTTGCACTATCACTTCATCTCTAACAGCATTTTTATGCACTTACTTGCTAAAATGATAGTAATGTTTCTCTAAATACTTCGTTTGTTATTAGCTTTGTTTCTAGATATATTATTACGTTATCCACAGCAAATAATAAATTCAATCATCTCAGAGTGTATCCAATATAATCAAATAAATTCGGTTCTGTTGTTATTGAAAAATTGTTACTAGAAGAGGTACAGATAAAGAAAAAATCCTGAATCTTTTTTGGTTTTAAAATGTATATCTATTCATATTCTATCAACATTTTCCATTAATCCAATAATTTTACAGAAAAAAGTGAAATTAGAGATCAAAATTTTCCGATGTCAAACGACATAACATGCGTATGTTACCGGAAATCTATGAAATCCAGGAATTTTGTACAAATAGAATACAATTCCTAGGAAATGTATTCAATTCCGAGGCTATTTAGGAAATCTATAAAATATTATTTCAAAGATTTTTTAATATACACATATCCTGGGAAATGCAGATATACATTTCCTAGGAATTGGTACTAATAATATGAAGAAGTACACATAATAACTGTACTAGGAAATGTATAAAACTAATGTTTTCTGTAAATAAAATGGATGCCCTCTCCTCGCTTCCCTATTGCCGCGTACCCATTGACATCTTGAATGTAATACATTTCCGATTGCTATTTAGGAAATGTATAGATTTCCTAGGAAATTTGTCTAATATAATATAGTTCACACATTTCCGGTATACATTAGGAATTATATACATTTACTAGGAATAGTATACAATGACGGATTACACACATTACCGTTAACATATACTCTTAGTAGGCGTCCACTAAAATTTGGTGGAAACTTTTTCCTTCAATTTGGATACCTCCTTCCCCATATGTCCCCTACATCCCCACCCCCCTCACGTGAAATGTACCCTATAATTTTTAATAATTAAACTTATTTTCATGTATCCTCATGGGACATCTCAAAATAAAGAAAAAATTAATGATTTCTTTATTATCTGCAAATAATAACGTTAAAAAGTGAAGCTTTTCAATGAACCCTCTCGCTCAACTTAAATGAGATCTGATGAAATTTTGCTAGACTACTCTCTCCTTTTTTAACTGGTGTAAACAGTGGATGTTCCCTAAGTATGTACGGATACCGTACCTAATTAAAAGCGTTTCTTTGTTGCCCATAGTTTATTTCATTTCAAAAAGCAATAAAATCTGTGACATATATGTAAGTATCCCATAACAGCTCCCATTTGTTGGAAAATATCTTCATCGAAAAGGAGCATAATAACCGTAAATCTTGAAGTGCAGGAAGTAATTATCAAATTATTGCCGTTTGTTTAGCGTAAACCTCGTTCGCCAGTCCAAACAAACAATCAAGCGAGGCGAATATCGCAGTTTCCAGCTGAAGTTTACTGAAAATAATTAATTAGCAGACACCGCCTCGAAGATGAAAACCAGAAGAAACCAATGAGGTAAACACTTTCTGACTCCCGACTCCTCCTACTTTATCTTCAAGAGTAATCTCGCGCGTGGACCGCATTAGTTGCCGATTAGTAGTCAATTATTGACTTAACTACTGTAACCGTTTAAGTGCCTCCTTACAAGACCACCGCCGTGACGCCTAATATCGTAATTAGTAGTGCCAAGTTCCTAATTGTTTCAAAAGTGCCTTAGAGAGAAGAAAGGATTACCTACAGTATTACCCAACTTCTTACCAACTACGAATTAAATATAGGTGCTCAACGAACTAATCTCAGTTAAGGTAATCAAAAAATGCCTGCATGGAATCTTTATTACATTTATTTCTTTTATTCTAAAAATACACGCCAAAATAAAGAATTCTCCCCTATAGAAATCAATTTTACGTAAAATGCTCGAAGCAACAAGATTCGGCAATTTAAAAAAGTTATTGTCTTATTTCTAGGAGATCAATTCGCCTATCATCAAGTGCCTACTGCTTTTCGTCAAGCAAAAATCCTTTGCTGGATTATTGACGTGATTTTACATGGTTGTGAAAATGAATGCCTTGAATGGGCAAGATCACTGCTTGAAAACCATGCCCCCAAAAGAACCAGTTAAACTCAAATTCGGAATCGACAGTATCTTAGCATCAAATCCTACAAGTTTAGAAGAAAATTGCAAAAATTCTATAGCAAAGCCTACGCCAACCATAGCCGTTCCCTGTTCTGATTGCGTCACTTCGCTTTTCCGATGCTGTTCCCTCAATTCTGGACAAACTTTACTTGAAAAACATGCCGACTATCCAAATCATAATCACAATTATGCTACAACGAATAGTATCTACACCGTACAGCCAATAAGACCGTTTGCAACTCGACCAGGTAATAAATAAATTTTATAATACACATTCATATAATGTATGTGCATAATGTTTATTATGTGAATTTAGTAATCAATTTGTTTTCTACAATTATGAGTAAGCCGAGTCTTCCTTCTGCTTAGTAAGAAACTAATTGCTATAAAAATTATTGTAATTCGGTCACTTATTAATTATGAAGTTCTGGAACTGAATGGGGGTTAATTAGAGAATCTTGAAATTTGTTTTTTATGATGATTATTCTTTATAATATATATATCAGAAATTAGGAACAACATGTAAGAGATAAAATTTACATAATAATAGAAAATTATTTAATTGTTAGTAGGATATGTACATATCCTTTTTGTTTATTACATTTATGTTTTGTTGATGTTTGTGTATTTTAATAATTGACATTGAAATTTTGTAAGTCCTTTTTAAAATTTGAAATTTACTTCAAAATAGCAATTATTTATCATCAATTANCCTTTCTTTGTTTACCTTTATCGGTTAATATTGCTCGATAAGGCAAGAAAATAATTATGTAAACGTTCGAAACCGTAACATCTCACCACCCACCGTTTCAGTCGAACACGGTTGTATGTCGTACGGCAGCAGGGGCACTTGCTCTAATGAAATTACTCCGCTTTTATTTTGCTTGTGGGTAATGACTCGAAGAAAATCCTTGCTCATCTGGGATGACTCGTACCATTACGAATAACTATAAGCGCGGTCTAGTACAATTAAACATGTACACACGTAACTACTATATATACGTGTTACCGGAAAAGTATGGAATCTAGGTATTGTATACAATTCCTAGGAAATGTATACAATTCCGAGGCTATTTAGGAAATCTATAAAATATTATTTCAAAGATTTTTTAATATACACATATCCTGGGAAATGCAGATATACATTTCCTAGGAATTGTATGAAATTCCGATATTGTACTAGGAAATGTATAAAACTAATGTTTTCTGTAAATAAAATGGATGCCCTCTCCTCGCTTCCCTATTGCCGCGTACCCATTGACATCTTGAATGTAATACATTTCCGATTGCTATTTAGGAAATGTATAGATTTCCTAGGAAATTTGTCTAATATAATATAGTTCACACATTTCCGGTATACATTAGGAATTATATACATTTACTAGGAATAGTATACAATGACGGATTACACACATTACCGTTAACATATACTCTTAGTAGGCGTCCACTAAAATTTGGTGGAAACTTTTTCCTTCAATTTGGATACCTCCTTCCCCATATGTCCCCTACATCCCCACCCCCCTCACGTGAAATGTACCCTATAATTTTTAATAATTAAACTTATTTTCATGTATCCTCATGGGACATCTCAAAATAAAGAAAAAATTAATGATTTCTTTATTATCTGCAAATAATAACGTTAAAAAGTGAAGCTTTTCAATGAACCCTCTCGCTCAACTTAAATGAGATCTGATGAAATTTTGCTAGACTACTCTCTCCTTTTTTAACTGGTGTAAACAGTGGATGTTCCCTAAGTATGTATGAATACCGTACCTAATTAAAAGCGTTTCTTTGTTGCCCATAGTTTATTTCATTTCAAAAAGCAATAAAATCTGTGACATATATGTAAGTATCCCATAACAGCTCCCATTTGTTGGAAAATATCTTCATCGAAAAGGAGCATAATAACCGTAAATCTTGAAGTGCAGGAAGTAATTATCAAATTATTGCCGTTTGTTTAGCGTAAACCTCGTTCGCCAGTCCAAACAAACAATCAAGCGAGGCGAATATCGCAGTTTCCAGCTGAAGTTTACTGAAAATAATTAATTAGCAGACACCGCCTCGAAGATGAAAACCAGAAGAAACCAATGAGGTAAACACTTTCTGACTCCCGACTCCTCCTACTTTATCTTCAAGAGTAATCTCGCGCGTGGACCGCATTAGTTGCCGATTAGTAGTCAATTATTGACTTAACTACTGTAACCGTTTAAGTGCCTCCTTACAAGACCACCGCCGTGACGCCTAATATCGTAATTAGTAGTGCCAAGTTCCTAATTGTTTCAAAAGTGCCTTAGAGAGAAGAAAGGATTACCTACAGGATTACCCAACTTCTTACCAACTACGAATTAAATATAGGTGCTCAACGAACTAATCTCAGTTAAGGTAATCAAAAAATGCCTGCATGGAATCTTTATTACATTTATTTCTTTTATTCTAAAAATACACGCCAAAATAAAGAATTCTCCCCTATAGAAATCAATTTTACGTAAAATGCTCGAAGCAACAAGATTCGGCAATTTAAAAAAGTTATTGTCTTATTTCTAGGAGATCAATTCGCCTATCATCAAGTGCCTACTACTTTTCGTCAAGCAAAAATCCTTTGCTGGATTATTGACGTGATTTTACATGGTTGTGAAAATGAATGCCTTGAATGGGCAAGATCACTGCTTGAAAACCATGCCCCCAAAAGAACCAGTTAAACTCAAATTCGGAATCGACAGTATCTTAGCATCAAATCCTACAAGTTTAGAAGAAAATTGCAAAAATTCTATAGCAAAGCCTACGCCAACCATAGCCGTTCCCTGTTCTGATTGCGTCACTTCGCTTTTCCGATGCTGTTCCCTCAATTCTGGACAAACTTTACTTGAAAAACATGCCGACTATCCAAATCATAATCACAATTATGCTACAACGAATAGTATCTACACCGTACAGCCAATAAGACCGTTTGCAACTCGACCAGGTAATAAATAAATTTTATAATACACATTCATATAATGTATGTGCATAATGTTTATTATGTGAATTTAGTAATCAATTTGTTTTCTACAATTATGAGTAAGCCGAGTCTTCCTTCTGCTTAGTAAGAAACTAATTGCTATAAAAATTATTTTAATTCGGTCACTTATTAATTATGAAGTTCTGGAACTGAATGGGGGTTAATTAGAGAATCTTGAAATTTGTTTTTTATGATGATTATTCTTTATAATATATATATCAGAAATTAGGAACAACATGTAAGAGATAAAATTTACATAATAATAGAAAATTATTTAATTGTTAGTAGGATATGTACATATCCTTTTTGTTTATTACATTTATGTTTTGTTGATGTTTGTGTATTTTAATAATTGACATTGAAATTTTGTAAGTCCTTTTTAAAATTTGAAATTTACTTCAAAATAGCAATTATTTATCATCAATTATTATATCACGTTCTAGTTATTCACATACAAATAATACACAATAATTACAGGCAATATTTTATAGGATGATGTGTTGACCATTCAAAATGATTATTTACGAAAACACATTTTTATTGCTTGTCTTGTTCTAATGAAGAAATCTAAAGGAATTGTCGTAAAATGTTTATTTTCAATTTTATTACCTACTCTTTGATAAGAAATAATGATGAGTACTCACTGTAATCAACTAATACTGTAGTTCAATTTTATCGCGACCATAAAAATACTCATAAATATTTTTGGTGACGGGATAAATAAATTTTAATATTCATCAAAGTCATTAGTACAAAAACGTACAACGACAAGCATTATTTTAATTATTTGATAAAATGCGAATGACCCACTAAATATTTCACAAATCATCAAATCAAATCCGTACATAACTGTTCAATCATGGTGAATGTATAGGTATCAATTTCGATTTATCCATATATTTTAAATCTTATTAATTAAAAAATAATTAATTAGAAACTCTAGTAGTAGTAACAAGTTGCAAACATCAAATAAAATATATCATTTATATTCCCTAATCGTTAAATCTTTTTGATAACACCAAACAGTACTATCTTCATACGTTCCCAAACATGAGAAAGGGGCTTAGGGAGTCTAAAGAAATGGGCCATAAAGATTTTAGTTTTATTCCTTTTTATATGCTAACGTATTTGATTTTAAATCTTATAACAAAAATACAAAACCGATACATATGAAATACGTTCAACAATTTGATTGCTGATTGAATCTCGAAATTTGGTAGATATCTTTAACATCTAGCAATAATAAAAGCTAATAATCTTCTTTTCAACTAAAACTCTTGGAAATAATGATTAAACGGTTTCTTTATTCACACTCCGTTCAAATAGATATTTTTGGATAATGGCCGATTCATTCTTCGACGCGTTTTAATTTGATTACATCAGTTGGTAAATGTAAAGTTTATGTCGGTAGCAGGCAATCGCTTAAACCGATGATGAGCCCTAAACTTTATTATGCACAAGTAATGTAAACATTAGATCTACAAGACCTTTATGTGCATATATACAAGTCGTAAACAGGCCTTCGCATCCAGCTCATCTCTCGTTTATACTAGTCAGTTTGTTCGTATACAGTGGGCACTGTTAAGTGTTTGGAATAAGCTAATGTATCTACATCGAGAACATTTGGTCTCTTAATTTGCTCAACATTTGGCTCTAACTTTAGTTAATACTCACCAAAATTATCCTCTAATAAAACGGTTCTAAATATTTTTCTAAAAATTATCATCTAAATCTACCCTATTAAAATTGTTCACATTGTACTCATCAGTTATCATGTTCGCTTATAATAATAATGAAAGTATACTTATATACTTCTTCATTCGAAACCCAAAGTTGTAAACGAATTTTATATTTGTATATGCGGATTTATTAAAAGCGAATTTATATGTACTTGTCTATAATGTGCCCAATTCAGTCTAATCCAATCTAATTATAAAGTGAACGTAGCATCCCAGGGAATTGTGTTAGGAGAAAGGAAGAAAGCTTAGGATTTCAAGCGATATCTGAACCCCTTCGCATGTTATTACCAAAGGATATATTAACTGACGAAGTGGCGAATCTAGTGCGATTATTGTTACCGAAAGTTAATCGTCTTAATTTTGAAGAGCTCAGCGATTTAGGCCCGTTTTTTAATATTTTAAGTGTCTTGCTATGACTCGTAAAAGTCAGTTTTGAGATATCAGTCATCAGTTAACTAACCTCAAAAAAAAATTCAAAAGTTCAAAAGAGAAAAATTTCAAAACAAAGGGAGCTTTAGATAGCCCCTGACCCCGAGGTCATCTACTCTCTTGCTTCCGCTTGGATTGTCCAAATTGTACTCTAGGATCTGTTTTCAATAATAAAATACCAATAACAACGGTCTCATTTTCACTTTACAACCATCAAGATATTTCCTAATTAAATTTAAAAAACTCGAACCAATTATGGCACAAATTATATACGAATACCAAAGTCTCTGAACAAACTTCGACGAATACGTAATAATATGATGTTAATCGAACTTCTGTTTAATAATTCTGTTAAAATAGTCATAGTCAATATTAAAAGGATTATAAAAAGTACGTGGGCACTTATTATATTTAGACACCTACTTGCGCTTGTCTGTCAATAAATTTTATTTTTAGATACTCAGAAATTTTAAACATCATCTATACGTACATTCCGATCCATACAAATTAATTAAACATTCTTCACTAATTTATGAGGTAGTAAAAGATCAAATAAAGATCTATTTCAACCATGAAAACACTGATTCGGTTTCCATTTTTCCACACCAGGACGTTTTTAGTTCCACTGACGTTTGTAGCAACTTTTATTAGATTAATTGTTTATTTTTTATCGATCGTTATTGAACTACATATTGCAATATTTAATCGCCTCATTGACAGGTACCATTTTTAAACATTTCCTTAAATTGAACCTCAAAAACTTTAGATAATTAACTTGTTAAAACAATTTTTGATGTGAAATATTTTTTGGTGGTCTTAGGGGGTTAAACTGATACGCGTGGCAAGACGGAGCGACAATAAACAAAACTTCCATGTTTCACATCCGCCAAACACCTTGTGATGGCTATTTTTTCAACAACTTCCTTCTTGAACGAGAACTATTTGTTTAATCAGCATTGAATAAGTGCCATTTGTTATAATAAATACCCTGATCCTCAATTTCTTCAAAATTGTTAGTAATGACAGTAAAAATCTCCTCAAAATTTGATAAGTGCATGAATAGTTCATAATAATCAAATAGGTTGAACACTGGTTTCAAATTAACGATTATAAATTATTGGTTTTAGTATTGATGATATTGAAGTGTAATTTTTAAATATCCGGGAGATTGTAGCAGGCAAACAAATGCTTTCCTGTGATTTTTCTTCTTAGAGTATGTTATAAATTGGCGTCAAAAGAAAAGTAGATTTTAACCAAATGACTTAAGCATTTTCAAACTGAAGACGAGATAAGAAGTGAAATAATTGGAAATTAGCGAAATTTTTCCATTTACTCTTTTTTATACATATTTGTCATTTGGCAAATGTCTCACCCTCGTAGATGAAAAACTCAATCACCAATTTACACGTCCGATATATGTAAATAATAAACATAATAAATGCTTATGCAATTCAAATAAAACATAAGTAGTTGTTGTTCAATGTTTAACTGCATAATTAAAAATGTAGCAATTGCCTACTACAGCACTATTACAACTGGTCTTCTCAGCAGAGGGTACAGATTAATTTAGACCGAAATGAAAATAAATAACGGAAAAAGATCCTAAACAAGGACCAAGAGGAGAAGAGTGTTTCTTAGTTATCGCCACAGGATGTAATCACATGTCAGGGCCCAACATTAACACCAATAAACACTAAAAACATCACGGTTGGATCTGTTGATTCTCAACTACGTCCCGCAAGCATATATAAACAGATGTTTAGACGTGATCATATTTACGTATACATATTTAAGTGTATACCCCAAATTCTAAACGATCTAATGTTTATTATTGTTTATCGGAAGCTTTAACGGTGAAACAGTTATTACCTTCCTTTAATTGAATAATAAATTTTTTCAAAATTCTACAAAAAACTCATTTTGCTTTATTCATTCTTCGCACACGTTCTGCCATCTTAAATTACTACTTAAAGGACCTTGCTGGATCCTTACCGAAAATGGTCCTCTGTTAAACTAAATGAAACTTTGGATTCTGATAGTTCTCGACGTGTAAATCAAAAATCTCAATGGGCACTATGTCGTAAAAACTTACCTTTTTGAGATATAGTCCCTTAAAGTTGCATTCTTTAGTCAGGACTTGCAAGGTACAATTATACCTGCTCTATGTACTAAATACGTATACGTTACTTGTATATTATGAATGTGTCATGGTTTCGGACCAAGGATGGTAATGAACTCTGCAAAAGTGTAATACACCTCAACGTAGAAGTGTACTTATGAGGAAAGTTGATGTACTCAGAGCTGTAATCAGACAACCAACTATAGTTTATACGACGCATAAAAACTAAAAGTGTAACTGTAACGAAACTTTAGTAGGTTCATATACAATTTTTATATTCCGTATTGGTATCTGATATCACTTCTGAGTATATACCAACTTTCCCTGTAAGTTGGGGTACCTACTCAGAAGTATAATCAGATATCAATACAAAAACTATAGTTTATACAACATATGAAAACTAAAAGTGTAATTGTAACGAAACTTTAGTTGGTTTATATTGAATTTTTATATTCTGTGTTAGTGTCTGATTACACCTCTGAGTACACCAACTTTCCCTGTAAGTACACTATGACGTTGGAAGACCTATACTACAAATTTTCAAAGTGCATTAAGATCCCTATATCGAAACCATGACAAATCTATAATATGAAATACTACAGGTAGGTGCCAACATAATCCAATACGTACAATTGGTATAATTGTTCCTTGGAAGTCCTTACGGAAAAATGCAACTTTAAGTTTGTCAGAATGCCATTTTCCGTAAGGATCGCCCAGAGTCCTTTTATTACCTAGTACTAGCTTTATCGCAAATTTCTAAATATATTTATGGTAAAGGCATCGATAGCCTATTAGTTTATAAAAAAAAGAAGTAATGATAGCCGCTGATTATAAGCATTGTTTTGTATAATAGATGCAGTTTAAGATTTCTATTATTGGAATTTCATAAATCTACCAACACATTAATCCATTATGAATAACTGATGTTTCAAATAAATTACTGAAAAATAAATGTGCATTAAAAATGGTGAATGCGCTGGGCAAGCTTCGATTTTCGTAGTGTTAGCGTGTCCCCGGATTCATCCGCGCATCAATTTCTTTATTTTAACTTCAAAGCATTCAAACAAATAATAATAATCTCTTTCACCAGCATTCAAACTTTCAGTTTGTTCTAGATCCTCGTCGATTTATTGTAAAATGTTATTACATTTTCCGAAATTCCGAAGAGGTTGTTACCCTATAGTAGATATGGTTCCTAATGTCATTAATATAATTTATTTGTTATTACTCATTTTTTATTGCTAGAGTGTCCTGCATCCTTTTTCAATCTCCAGCAGTATCATTTTCTACTTCTATTTATCAATTTCTTTTATTTTACAGCCATACGGATACCTTCCTTGCAAACATCCCGTAATTCTACCACATCATTGAACCTCAGTGCAACAGCTAACTGTTCTTCGGGAACAGGAAAAAGGAAAAGATCGTGGTCCCGTGCGGTTTTCAGTAATCTACAGAGGAAAGGACTAGAACGCCGTTTTCAACTTCAAAAATACATTACCAAACCTGATCGACGCCAATTGGCTGCTACGTTAGGTCTAACCGATGCGCAAGTAAAAGTCTGGTTTCAGAACCGAAGAATGAAATGGAGACATTCCAAGGAAGCTGGGAAAATGGGAGAATGTACTGCCGATACCAATAATGACGGAGAATTGTATATTGATGTCGATACGGTTTCCGAAAGTGATTAAATTGTGTTATAGATTGAATCATTTAAAATTATACAAACTAATGGATGAGTGGATCGAAATGAAATCATTATAGTATTTACCAGTCACTCAAATGATCAGATTTAGTCGGTTAAATAAGAAATATTGATATCTATAATTAAATTAAAATATTTTTGAAAAATTTTCTAATACCGATTTTTAAAAAATCAAAAATCAACAACATTAACATCACTATTCAGTAACCATTTTATCAA